TCTCTGTCTCTCTTTCTCTCTCCATCTGTGTCTCTGTCTCTCTCTCTCTGTCTCTGTCTCTCTCTCTCTGTCTGTCTGTCTCTCTCTGTCTCTCTCTCTCTGTCTCTCTCTCTCTCTGTCTGTCTCTCTCTCTCTGTCTCTGTCTCCCTCTCTCTCCCTCCTGTTCCCCTACACCCCCTGCAGGGCGAGTGCGCCAACTACATCCGGCTGATCGACCGCTGGAACCGCACCCACCTCTACACGTGTGGCACGGGAGCCTACAGCCCAGTCTGTGCCTACATCAACCGCGGCTGGCGATCCGAGGTTCGTACGGGGGTGTGGGGTGGGGTGGTGGGGGGAGCGCGGGGGTTCCGGTCCGTGAGCCCGTCACACCCTTAGGGACCAGTCGCTGAAGTCATCGGAAAAATCCCAGACGAGCCCCCGCCGATTTCCCGGCCCCTTTGGTTTCGAATCCAGGCAGGGACTGGAGCGAGCACCACCACCACCCCCCCCCACCACCATCACTTCTGGAAAATTCCTCAGAATTCCTGACCGGCAGGTTCCCCAGGGTTAATCGAGAAAGGGAAGGTTTGTATGACTTGGGAAGGAACGATTGGGACTCTCTGAGCTCGAGCAACTCCTGTTTGCGGACCTTTTCTCCCAAGTTTTTCAAAGCTCAGGGTGAGGTGTAGAAAGTTTGGGCACAGGACTGAAACAGCCTTGATTTCAAACTCTGTTATCCCACTCCCCAACCCCCGCGATTAACCCCAAAACACGTGCTGCGTCTCTGTTCCAACTCTGTCTGAGCGATCGTTTCACGGGAAGGTCCTGGGGGAGCGTCGCTGAACAGAGAGACCTCGGCGGGGGGAGCAGGTACACGGTTCCTTGAAAGTGGAGTGGCAGGTAGACAGGGCGGTGAGGGAGGGGGTTTGGGACGCTCGCCTTTATGGGTCGGTGCGCTGAGTGCAGGAGTCGGGAGGGTCATGTATTGGCGAGGCCGCTTTGGGAATACTGCGTCCAATCCCGGTCTCCCTACTACGGGAAGGACGTTGGGAAAGGGGT